CTGTCCTGACTTTTTGATGCTTCCTCTTTCCCTTCCCTGCTTCTTCCTCCGCATTCTTACAGAGTTCCAGGGGCTTGGAGCATAGTTGAAAACGGATTTTTACCCTCCTCAGGCTTTGTGGACAGGGCAGTGCAAACTGAGGAGGAGGGGCGGGAGAGAGGGTGGACCAAGAGCCTCTGCATAGTGGAACAAAGAGGCCTGGGGGCTCCCTATGGGCAATCTGACATCCTGAACCAGGAAAATACAGGCTTCCAAAAGCCAAAGGTCAACAGAAGGACAGGAGAGCCTGAGAGGGCAGCCTGGCACCGGGTTCTTCATTTCCAGGAATGCTTAGGGGAGATTAATCCTTAAACAGGCACAGAGTGACTTTTTCTGTGCCAGAGGTGGCTGCATAACAAAATGATTATATAATGATACGGGTATTAAAATATAGACATTGAACCATCATTTTATAATTTCTTTACAGAGGGGCAAGAGGTTGTTGTTATCATCTTATCGATGGGGAAACTGAAGAGTCAGGAGGTCAAGGGACTAGCAAAAGGCAGACTGGGGTCGAGAGCCAAGACATGCTGACCACTGATCGTAGGCCCTTTAACATCAAGGTCCTACATCTGAGTCCTTTGTTTCTTTCTTTCTTTTTTTTTTTTTTGAGATGAGGTCTCTGTTGTCCTAGCTAGAGGGCAGCGACATCATTGCAGCTCACTGCAACTTCAATTCCTGGGTCCAAGGGATCCTCTGGCCTCAGCCTCCTGGCTGATTTTTCTGTTTTTAGTAGAGATAGGGGTCTCACTCTTGTTCAGGTGGGTCTTCAACTCCTGGCCTCAAGCAATCCTCCCATGTTGGCATCTCCGGTGTTGAGATTACAGGCATGAGCCACCATGCTGGTCTCCTTCTGGTCTCTTGACCCTCTATGGGTCTGCTTTTTGGAGCATCAGCTTGTGGCTCTTGGCTCTGCAGGAGCTACCTTTTGGGGAAGGTCAGGAAGAAGTGAGCCAGGGAACCCCAAGACACCCACGGGGGAAACACATAGCAAAAGTGGGGCCAACCCCTGGCAGGAAGCAGAGTTGCGATCCACTCTGAGGTCTGGTTTTGCCCAGCTATGAGCCCAACAGAGATGGGGTGGGGCTTCCTGAAGGAGTAGAAGTGGTGTTATCTGGGCAGGTGTCCAGTTTCTAGAAAGAGCATGAGTCAGGGAGTAGACACACTTGAATTCAAAGGCCAGTGTCTCCATTCTCATAACTATGTCTGACTTTGGGCAAATGACTTAAGATTTTCAGTCGCACCTGTGAAATAGAGGAGAATAACAACTTCCTGGGAATTAAAGGTGAGAACAGATACTGTATAAAGTGCTTCATACAGTGCCTGGCCTGCAACAGGCACTTGGGGAATTGTAATCCTCTTGCCCTTGCCTTCCTGTGCAAACTGTCATTGTATGCTCTGTGCCTGCCTCGATTTCTCTGCTAGTGAAATGCTGTTTGCTGTCCTTGTCTGCTGCCAGGACCAGGTGAGGACACTGGGGTGGACGCATGTTGAGAAATGGATGTATTTGCCAAGGCTGGGCACCGGCTGGCGTGTGCAGGGATCTCTAAGCAGCTGGACATGTCCAGGCTGCATTAATCATACTGCCTTCCCTTCCCCATGCTGGGTCGGTGGTTCGGCAGCTGGACTAGCCTTTGGCAAAGTTAAGTGGGTAGAGTGTGCCCTTGGTCACAGCCCTCAGGAGCTCCATGTCCTCCCCACCCACAGACTCCCTCAAAGGCCCCTGTCCAAGGTAGTAGAAGTAGGTTCCTCAAAGGAGGGTCCAGGCACCTACCCCACTGGATGTCTATTAATAACACTGGTCTAGGCCCCCAACTCACACTGCTGACTCAGAATAAGGGCAGACTCAGGAGCATCTTAACAAGCCCCCATGGCTTTTGTGCACAATGAAAGCTGAGAATTGCTTGATTAGAAGGTGCTAATGGTTTAACACTGTCATTCTCAACCCCTTCTTACCTCCCAGACTGCTCACATGTGTAACAAACACCCAATAACCTCTGTCAATATTTAGTGATTCTTAAGTGGGGAAGTGAATGCCTGACCCCAGGGCCAGGGTTGAAGGGTTGGAATTTCTAGAAGGGTTTGCCAAAGCCACTACAGGGGTGATATGCAACCAGTGTGGCTGTTATGACCTTTCCTGGCTGAGAAGGACCAGCTAACGCCTTTCCTTTGAGTAGGTGACATGCATTTTTGAGGAAGTGACTTCTGTGCAGCACTTGGCTGGATGTCCGTGGTTGGTATCTTTGGCTGGTCTCTGCATCCTGGAGGAGGAAGGGCCCTCCTGGCCCTGGCCTAATGTGTACCCTGGTGTGCACCCTTCCCAGATTACTGAAGGAGCTCTTGTCAGCTGTGCTGATAGAATCTTCTCTACATTAATAGGAATTTTTAACCCAGTGGAGGGATTTGGATGGAGGAATTCTAAGCACTGTTGCTGGCTGACAGAGGCTCTTGTCCATTCATTTATTCATGAATCCACATTTGTACAAATATTTATTGGGCACCTACCCTATAACAGGCCCTGTGCTATGTTCTATAGGGGGCCTGGTTATGCATGAAGCCCCGTTTTTCTGTAGATTCCAGCTGATGGAGGGTAAATCAGAAAGGGATATAGGAACCGTCCACTCAGGGTCCCCTGCCACCTCCTCTGTTCACACCGTGGCCTGGTCATGGAAAGCGTGGTGAAAGGCCAATGCAGGCAAGTCACCTGAAGTGTTTGCAATAAAGCTTGCACTCTTGAGAGGCAAACTTGATAAATTAAGCGATATTAAAAAGGCAACTATTTCTGATAACTTATTATCCACATTCTCATAAACACATTACACTCGTCACAGTACATTTACAAGCACTGGCCTACCAGTGGGGAGAAGTTAACGCTTACCTAATGATGTTATTTTGCAGATGTCAAATGCTCTGGAGCTGCAGTGATGGGCTAAATGGTGCAAAGAAATGTTAGTCTTCTTTCCCT